GCCGGATAGCAGCCCTCCCACCCTGAGCGTGGCCGTCACCTCCCAAACTCCGGTCCGGCCGCACCGTCCTGTCCCGAGAGAAAAACCTAGTTGGAGACGGCGACGTGTTCCCCAGCGCGCTTGGGGCCATTCGTCGACTGCTGCACGCCAAGCATCGTGAGCTGCGGTGCCGCTGCCCTCCTGGACCTTGCAGGCATACAAGGGCACCGGCTCCTTAATGAGGTTTATTGGTTTGGGTTTTTTTTTTTTTTCTTGAGTCAGGGTCTCACTCTGTCGCCGGGACTACAAGCGCGCGTTGTAGTCCCGATGCCCGGCTAATTTGTTTGTTTTTTGTAGAGTCGCGGCCTCGCCATGCCCCCAGGCTGGTCCCCAACTCCTGGACTCGAGCGATCCTTTCGCCTGGCCTCTCCCCTCGCCCCCCAGAGTGCTGGGATTCCAGGCGTGCGCCACGGCGCCCGACCTGTGTTTGTGTTTTAATTGTTCTGTCTCTCATTTCCAGCAGGGAGCCGCTTGGACAGCATAAAGTCCAGGCTGTTTGCCACGTGAAACATGCATCACGGTCCACGACCCGCCCCACCGCCGCCGCCTCCCCCCTATTCACACTCCAGCGACGCCCCCTTGGGTTTCTGGCCTCAGGCTTTGTTAGTCCCTCCAGCGGCCCGGACTAACCTTCCCCACCCCAGCCACTCGGTTGAAGGGTCACCTTCCCCCAGAAAGCCTCGCTTGACCCGCTGCAACCTCCTTGGTACATGCCTGTTGTTCCACTTAGCCCATGGACTTACAATTATATGTGTGTGTCTGTCTGTCCCATGAGACAGAATATCCTCGAATGCAGGGACAATCTGCTCCCACTTATTCCCAAGGCTGGCCACTGTCTGGCGCCTGCAACACAACTAAGTATAACAAATAAGTGAATGAATGGCTGTGGCAAAAAAGACCACCCAAATGAGAATGGAGAAGCTGTTTATTCACAGCTGGCTGTAACAGGGAGGCCCATCGTTTGCACTTGGCAGACTCAAGGGTTGTCCAGAGAATGGAGGAACTTAACAAGAGGTTTCTGCAGGCTCTGACCTGGGGCCATTAGCCTGGGGAAGCTGGGGGTGGGCCAGCTAGAAGCAGAGAGAGCATCGCCTGTGATTGGTTTGGGGTTGCATGTTTGGCTGGTTTCGGATGGTCCTGAATTGGAAGGGAGAGGGGACACAGCGGGTGGCTGCCAAGGTTGTGGGTCAGAGTTCTGATTCTCACATATGATGCAGCCATCATCAGTGTGTACGTCCAGTCTCTCATGACCGGTGAGTGCTTTCTCCTTCTACTCTCCTGACCTGGTTGCATGTCCTCACTTGCCTTTCTTCTTCAAGTCTCTCAATTCTCAGTTCTATTTTCTTCTCTATTCCTCAGTCCCCATTGTCTCAAGTGCTGTATTTTACCTGGGCCCCCAGAAACCACATTGAGTAAAATAGTCGCATAAAGCTGGGATTGACCGCACAATTATACAAATATCAGGAATTTTTATTGTTCCAGAACCCAGTTGACTTCCTAGGACAAGTTAGACATGGAAAGAACTCAACGAATGTTTTGGAATTTTTAAAAAATTTTTTGAAGTTGCCTTCTGTGAGTTCCATGTCTAGTCTATGTATATTTCAAACTCTGGTGATCCACAAAAGTAGGTGTCTTTGAGTGGAAATAAAATGCCTATTTACTTTTTAAACAATTCTTAATTCATATGGTTTATGAGCCATATAACTTAAATTCAAAGGTGGATTGAAACATCCTCTTATTTACCTTTTATAACTACTGTCATAAAACAGAAAAGAAGCTGAGCATGGTGGCTCATACCTGTAATCCCAGCACTTTGGGAGGCTGAGGTCAGAGTATTGCCTGAGCCCAGGGGTTCGAGACCAGCCCAGACAACTTGGTGAGACCTTGTCTCTACAATAAATCAAGAAAAATTAGCCGAGTGTGGTAGCACACACCTATGGTTCCAGCTACTTGGAAGGCTGAGGCAGAAGGATCATCTAGCAGGTTGAGGCTGCAGTGGCTGTGATCGTGCCACTGCACTCCAGCCTGGGTGACAGAGTGAGACTCCCACTAAAAACAAACAAACAGAAAAGAAACCTACATTGTAACCCCAGCACTTTTTCATTGCATTTTCTTTGTGAAACTTTCCTTGTTAGTCTGGTTTGGACGCCCTCTAGCATTTGTTAAGCATGAATCTTTACCAAAACCTGGAATGCTTATCTGATTAACAGCCCACAGGGCTGCATTATGGGATTTCCAGTCATCAGGCCAAATAAAAAAAGGGTTGAGACCGGGTCTGTACTCCACCTGCTGTAACCAACATGTGGAAACAAATGACAGAAACCCGGATTTCCAAACTGGTTTTTAGCTGCTCCTTGAAGGCTGGCCAACAATTACATCTACAGTTTTCTTAAGATGTCCTCACTGCCCAGCCCTGAGCACCGTCCGCCAGAGCAGTCCTGTGTCAGTCGTCAGCTGTCTGCTTTCTGTTTCCCCTTGTTGCTTGTCGGTCCCTCCCCACTAACCTCTAAGGGAATTTGAGCAACGTGGGCCACTCGCTCCCTTCCAGTTCTACTCATCTCTCTCATCTGCTAGGTACCTTGTTGTCCAAAACCAGACTCATGATCTACCCACTCCCATGTTACGCCCCCAAATGGTTATGTATAGGCTGCAGAGAGGCCATTTTGGTTAGATCAGAACAATCATTTAGAAGAGACTTAAAACGTGTGCTCTTTTGTAGCTGATTTGGACGAAACATAAAAGCTGCTTGGATTCAAAAGAAGACATTTTTCCGCTTTGCCTCCCCATCTCCCACCCTGCCTGCTTCTCCTTTCCTAGCATGGCCTTGGCCAACTGGCCACTCTGACCTAGTATCCATTGCTGGTGCTGAAGAAGGAACAGCTGACAAGCCAGACCACCTAAAGATTAGGAGAGTGGACCAAGGAGTGTTTCTGAAAACTTGGAGTGGGCACTGCTTACCTCCCCTCCATTTGTGACTACAAGGACATCGGACTGTTATAGGCTGGGGCTCTGGGAATAAAAGATTTGTTACAATCATGTTTTAAAACAATTCAAAGCTATCATCCTAAATGTTATGACTTTCCCTTCCTTCCAAATACTGCAATTGTCTGCCCCTTCCCCCGTCCCCCCAAAAACTGTAAAAGAACATATTGTAAATTCCAAAATGTTCTCTAAAAGTCAGCATGACCAGGAGACTTTGTGTCACATCAGTGGTCATGTATTAAAAATTGTGAATGTAAATCTTTAACCATGATGAAACTGCACATAGGCTTCAACCTCAGGGTGGGTAAAGGGCTATGAATTGGGGGTATAAGTACTGGAGTGAATTTGTGTTGTTTTGAGCAGCTTTTTTGGCAATGATACCAACCTGTCTTCCTATATCCTGGTTATAGAAATTAAACACTGCCTTTTCTCCCAGGCTCTGCCTCTTGTATTTTAATTGGCCACCAGGGGCAGCAGCCGACTGATTGGATCAGGCTATAATGAAACCACCTCCATCCACAGCCCCACCTGTGACTCACCCTAGCAGGAGCCTGTGTGCAAGTCGTTCGAGAATCTTTCTTTCCCCGTTTCCATCCAATCAGTCACTATGTGTTCTTAACTCCAGTGCCTCAAATCCTCTCTGATATCTCCTAGTAAAGCCTTCCGACGGGTGGCCCTGCCTCCAGACTCTGCCCCTCCTAAGTGCCCCTCCATTCTGTCACCCCTAAGTCTAATCATGCCACATCCTGGATTGTAATCCTTCAGTTGTTCCTGATCCCAACAAGACACAGTCTAAACTCCCTGATGTGATGTGGCAGATTCCACTGACTCCCTACCCCCAAAGGCAACCCTCTCTCTTCCACCTTGTTAACTTGTCAAGTGCTTGGCCACATGCTTGAAGGGTTCTAGGCGCCAACTCCAGTCCCAGGGGGTAAACCGTGATTTGTCTAAGTCAATCATGGCGGTCCCATACCCTCACGAAATATTTGTTTACATGGGCCTATGGTCCAGTTATAGCTAATGTTCCTGAAAGAGAAGTTAGCTGTTGAGGGAAACGGCAGGAAGAGGGAAAACATTACTGGGAATAGTTGTCGCCATCTTTTTTATTTTTTATTTTGAGGCGGGGTCTGACTCTGTCATCCAGGCTGAGTGCAGTGGCCTGACATTGCTCACCACAGCCTCAATCTCCTGAGTTCAGGGTGATGCTTCCTCCTCAGCCTCCCGAGTAGCTGGGACTACAAGCACCTGCCACCATGCCTGGCTAGTATTTTTTATTTTTTTGAATAGATGAGGTCTCATTATGTTGTCCAGGCTGGTCTTGAACTCCTGGGCTCAAGCAATCCTCTGGTCTCAGCCTCCCAAAGCACTGGGATTACAGGCAGGAGCTATCACACCTGGCTGTTTTCTCCATCTTGAAGAGATACAGGCTAGGCGCGGTG